ATATATATATATGTAGGAAACAGAGTAGATATAAATGGATTTATTTTAGAGTTTACAATTTAAAAACAAAGTTAAAAAAGAAAGTAAAAAGTCTTATTGTTCAGTTGTCATCGTAAGCGCGTCTTCTTCTCTTCTTGATTCTGTGTTGCCAGCTTCTTCCTAATCAAATCCTACATATATATATAATAATTTAATATTTGGTTACTTTAGAAACTTCACACCAACTTTAAATCAGCCAAAAGCTCTGTTTTCTTAGGGTATTAAATTATATTAGACTATATTTTTGTAAATTGTATTTTTCTGCCTATTAACTGGAATGGCTGTAGGTGTTCTACAACTTTAGAAAGAGTCATAAAAATAAGCATTTTAAAAATCCTAATTATATCATCAATATCTCTAGAACTTATCTTAAATGATTAGATACAATTTAGATTCGATACCAATTCTGGCCAGCACTCATATTTCTTGTGGAAAAGAACACTTTGGCCAGAATTTTTAAATAGGTAGATAGCAGGGAAAAAAAAAACCTATTTAACATCCTTCAGAATGTTGGAAAGTTGAATTAGAGTTGGTTAAAGTAAAAAGTGTTGAATTAAGGTGATTCTAAACTGTACACCAGGTTTTAAAATATTTTCTTAAGAATTATGGTTTATAGAATGTTAAATATTTTTAAATTCATTTTTTTTTCAACTCATGCATTTGTGATGTTTTTATAAATTTGAGGATAACATTTTTTTTCCAATCTTGCCAAATTATCCATTACCCTAATCACTATGTTTATAGAGAGGGAAACTTACGCTAAGAGCGATGCTGGGATTGTGATCCCACAGTGTGATTCAACATGACACATAATTGATACCAACCATCCTGACATTGTTCATTGTGTCACACAGGTGATAGATAACATACTCAGCAGAATTATGCCTGGAATTTTATGGAGTAGAATCTCTATATAGTAATACAGTAGAACCTCCCTGCAGCGGACACCCCGCTAGCAGACACCTCTCCACAAAGGATACCTCTGCCTAATGAACACTTTGGCTCTGCAATTAGGTGTCCTTTACAGGGAGGTTGTACTGTATCTTCAGAGGTCTGAGACCTTAATAGTAAGGGGACCTTAATAAAAAGTTGGAGAAATTATCATCTTCTTCTTTCTTATCTCCACTCAATCACACTAAGGTATCAAGCTTGTAAAGCTTGAGATTTTTTATGGTGTCTGCCGGGAAAGAGTAGAGCTCATCAATGGATGGGTCAATACAGTCAATAATATGTCTTGGGGTTGCAGGCTGAGAATTGCACTTAGTACATAGTGGGAAAACCTTGCAACCATTCAGAAATTATCATAACCATAATAAAGGGACACTAATCAAAACCTGAATTTATCAGATGGAGGTTATTTTATTAATAATATTTAATATTTTTTCCCTGTCAGCTCTCTATTCTCATAATCCCACACCCAATCTACACAACCCCAACACTATAATATCTAAAGTTATAATATTTCCATAAGTAAACTTCCAGCTAGTGTACAACATCTGAAACCCCATCTTGGAAAGCAGCAGCACACAGAGGAACCAACACAATTTGCTGATTAACTATTACCACCACAGTTTTTATGTTGTCGTGTCCAATGAAGATCCTCAGATGTCTCCATGCATCTCCATCACAGCAGTCGCAATGTCCACTATCTTGGGTACAAGATACTCTATGGTTTTTATCATCTAATCTATAAAAACTTGGAATTTCAATGACCCAAAGACTTAGGTATCTATGGACAGTGTAGGCAGCCAGTGGGAAAAGATAGTGGGTTAATATGTAAATATTTAGTCATCAAGTTTATTTCCAGCCTTTATTCTATACTGTAGACCTGTTGCCCTTGTGAGGAGATATTTATGTGAATAAACAGTGACTCTGGCAGCTTATTCCTTCTGTGTACAATATATTAATATTTATAATTATAATAATAAATATATTGTTATACACCGGAACCTCTTTATAACACAGCAAGCTAATTATAACATTCTCAAATCTAGGATTGGAAGTTCCAAACTGTGATTCTAACAACATAAACTCACTAAAGTGGTGTTGTTGGGTTTGACATTGTTTAACTCAGTTTATTGGCCCTCTCCTGTTTCCCAACATCACTTCAAATGATGACAAATGGCTGATACACGCACAGTACCATTTTTCTTACATATTCACAGCTTAGGTTCTATTGAGAGATATTTATTGGCAGTGTTTTACAGATGGGTTATTTTCTTTGGAGAGAGACACTTCTAACACAAGTTTGGGCTGGTAGCCTTGAGTTTTGTGTTGACCCTAGGCAATGAGCTAATATTCTAGTTTTCCAAATAATTGATACACTACAATTTGGATTATAGATGAGAAATGACAAGGTAATATAACTAGATAGCCAAATCAGTAAGCTATGTGTGATGTAACAGCATTGATCCTCAGGTATGCTACCAAGTAATTTAGAACATGTAAACATAGCACCATTTTTAAAATAGAACTGTGAAGAGCTTTACAATTTTCTTTAAAATAGCAATATTGATGATGTTATATTTGGATTCTCTCTAAATAATATTTTAAAAGTAGAAAGACCAAAATCTAAAGAAGTAATTAATCTATATGTATTTTTTATTTAAACATCGCACGTTGATCAAGTTTTGGATTTGGTATTTTTACATTGTAGAAACAATAGGATGTTTAAAATATTATATTCAACTTTATTTTTTCCACTTAAGGATTTGGACTTGGAATCAACTTTTGATGACCTGGGATTAATTCATTTGTTTTTAATTAGGCCAGGTTCCTAGAGCATACAGGAGTTTCCAACTTTCCAAGTTCATTTAGTTTCATTTTTTAAAAATGATAAAGGTACAATATTGGGATTATTGATTAGAAACACAAGGTCTTCTTCTTTCTTATCTCAGAAACATATGGTAAAAATACCTAATCCAAATAAATAAATAGTGTGCTGTTTCTGTAAAAGAGTTAATCAGACAAAAGTGCTGAATGATGGGCAGTGATGGAGAAGACCAGATTCAGTACTTTTGTCTGATGATGGTAACAACACAGTTACTGAAACGTCGCACACTATTTTTTTGAATTTGGTATATTACCTTGATTTAAAAAAAAAAAAAAAAAAAAAAAAAGAACAAATGTTTTCCCCAAATTTGTCAAATAAACAGCGTGGCTGTGAGTGGAGGTATAATCATTAAATACCATAGACATGAATACACTGTCCTGGAGTTCCTCTCATAAAACAACACAAACACCACCTCTGTCAAAGCTTTTCAGTGAGACAGAGACCTTGTGGCACCGAAGTGACATTAATA